TGGGCGACGGAGTGAAACTCCAACTCAAAAAAAAAAGAGTAAGCCTCCAGCTTCTCGGTGAAGGTCTCCATTTCTGGCTGCTCCATTACATTGTTTCATTGCCTCCATAGCTGTTAACACTTTTTTTCTTTTTTGAGTTGGAGTCTCACTCTTGTCGCCCAGGCTAGAGTGCAGTGGCATGCTCAAGGTCACCGCAGCCTCTACCTGCTGGGCTTAGGCGATCCATCCACCTCAGCCTTCCAAGTAAAGTGATCAGAGTTGCTTATTGGCTCACTGTCTCTCACCACCCTCTTGAATACTCCAAAAGAGCAACATCCCCTCAGCATCTGGGGCCTGCAACCAGGAGGGCACCAGCTGGCACTCAGACACTAGCTTAATGAACAAGAGAAGATACTCGCAGTCTATTAACAAATTGAGACAACAATCTGCCAAGCTCCACCTCCGGCTTCAGCGTCTCCTGGCCCAGCATGCCCAGCTGCCCCAACAACTGCTAATGTAGCTCTCAGCATGCTGAACATGTTGCTCTGAGCCTTCATCTGCCATTGTAGGAGGCACCACCTGGTCTCCAGCATCTTGTTCCGTGGCTCCAGAATCGCAACTTATCAACAAAGGAGGCAAGCTTCTGGCTGAGGATCCTGACCTTCTCCTTCTCCTGGGTGCACACGGCCTGGATGCTGGGGTCCACCTCCAGCTTAAGCAGGCTCTGGTGCATGTGATGGCTGTGATGCCACCACTCTGACCCATGCCAGTGCCCAGGCCACCCTGAAGCTGCTGCTGCCCACCCTGGAGAGCCTTGAGGAGCTGAGGCTCACTCATGTACGAGCGGCTGCTGAAGGCCCAGGGGCCAGAGGTGGACACCTTGTAGGACTTCTGGGTCACCCTGAAGGACATGGTGGAGGCTGGAATGGAGGCAGGTGGGCCGAATCAGATGGAGATTTGAAAAGGCTGCTTTGAGGTGAGAGGTAGGATAACAGCCTGGAACACTGCAAACTGCTCTGAACTGGTTTCTTTTGCGGGTGGGGAAGCGGGGTCTGGCTCTGTCACCAGGCTGAGGTGCTGGGGTGTAACAATCATAGCTCACTGCAGTCTCTAACTCCTTGAGCTCAAGTGAACCTCACACCTCAGCCTCCTGAGTAACCAGGATTTGAAATGGTTTCTATGAAGTAAGTAAACAAAAGTAGTTGGTCAAATTGCTCCGGATTCAGGAACAAAGTATATTGGCTCTCATCTCTCCACCGCTCTTTTAAACTGTAAAAACAATATAATACCACCAAAGGATTTGTTAACACTTAAGTTATTTTAAATTCCACCATCCAATAGAACAGATTTTTGTTTTTCTCTATTACCTGCTGTCTTGGCCCACATGCATACATTGCTGAAATTATTGTGAACACTGACATTTTTTAAAAAACCTTTTCTATTTTAAAAGTAACATACATACAGAAAAATGGACTAATATAAATTTGGTGTTCTACCATTTTCATTTAACAATAGCAAATTTTGCTTTTACTACCTAGTTTCATTCATTGTCACCTTGAACAACTACCAAATACTCTACTGAAACTTAATGCTCTAATTTATTTGGTCAGAATCCTATAGGTAAACAGGTTGTTCCTATTTTTTTAGTCCTATAGGTAAGGCTTCAATAAAGATCTTCATGCCTATAGCTTTTTCTTTTCTTCTTGTAGTAAATTATTTCCAAAGAAAGATTCCTGAGGAAATGTAAAAGCAAGCATATTTTAATGTTGCTTGACATGATTGCAAAGTTGTTTTCTAAATAGTTGGTATAATGGTTATTTTAAAAGCTGCATTCCTCAACACACTAGGTGGTACAGGGCCCAAATCTCAGGTACCATCTGGGAATTCAAAGACCTGAGAAAGTCCCCTTTGCCTCTTCCAAAGCACCTGTAGGCCCTGAAAGGGCAAGTACCTGGCCATATACAGGGGGTGTTTCATGGTGTGCCAATGGGACAGTACATTCAGAGGGAGGGCAGCTCTGAACTGGTTTCTTTTGTGTGTGGGGAAGCGGGGTCTGGCTCTGTCACCAGGCTGGGGTGCTGGGATGCCTAAACACAGTGGATAGATTGGTAGAAGTCAACCAGAAGACTTTTCTACAGTAACTCAAATAAGCACGGTGGAAAACAAAATGCTTTAGTCAATGTGATAAATGAAACTACTGACCTAGACAATGAAGCCCAAGAGAAACAGCAAGTTTCTAAAACTCTGAAGGTGGCCAAGGCCTCTACTGTACTCATCAACACTCCAAAATTCTGCCTTTGCCTTGGAGGCTGCCCACCTAGAATCAGAAACTTAGAGTGGAAGAGCTGGAAGTGGCCCCCATGACCCCTTAGTTCAGTCCCCTGATTTTACAGTAGAGAGCTGGGCCTAGAGAGCCACACCCCACCCAGGATTGCAAAGCAAGTGTTTGTCAGAGCCAGGGCTTTAGAATACAGATTTGACAGCCACTGACTTCCACTCTGCTATACTGCTTGCCTTACTGACACTGACCATAGCAATGCACATCTACTCTACTCCCACTTTCACAAGTTTACCAAAGGTTGGATTTCAACCTCAAACAACACTGCAAACACAGAAACTTACCTGGGAAACTCAGCTCATAGTTCTGTGAACCCGCCTGAAATGGCACAACTCCCCTTGGACAGGACTGATATAAAGACTCCAGGTAGAAAGAGTCGATGTTTAAACTCTTCTGATTGTCTTTCTAAAAAAAAAAAAAAAAAAGGTAAAACACTTCAGGGTAGCAGTAGTGCATCTTTTTTACTAAATCAGCTTATAAGGGCTTCCATGTTGGGCCCACATCACCACCTTCTGTGGCCAGTCCTCCCCATCATGTGCCTAAGAGAGTGATCAATCCTGTAAATACTGACTGCACACTTGGTGGAAGCCTGAAAGATGGAGCTTTATGCAATACCCTTTTTACACCCTCCATAAAATATGAGCCAACAGCATCTGACACCCAACTCTCACATGAAATAGAACATCATGGGCTCTTCTAGCCCAGTACGGGTTAGAGCTATAGTGAAGGCAAGTAAAGGAAGACCTCCTTGCTTATATTCCAAGATCCAATAATACCAGGTTGCAAATGTAAATGACCTTACCCTTTCCTCTGCCCTCAACCAGAATGAGGTAAACAAAATTGACCAAGTCTTCAACCAGTCAAATACACTGAAAATACACTTGGATCTTCCATTGACTGGAGCTATCATGAAGGAGTGAGGAATAGCCACAAAACATAAAGATGTGACTTTGGTCTCAAGGCATATATAAAGTAACTGAGCATCAGAATGGTGGGTAAATGTGTTGTGCTGACTTTAGCAAGGGGGCAGGCTAGGCCACTGTCCCACTGACCCTACTCTGTGGCCGGAGGAGCAGACCAGGGCAGACTGGATGTAAGCCCCTAACAACCAGGGTTCCCAAAATCTAACAGTGAAGAAACATATGTGTTTTTTGTGATCTAGAATGGAGAAGCTGATGACAAAATCTTGCTGGTGGCCCCTGGTGGGAAGGGGTTCATAATTCCTTTAACAACACTCCAGATTCTTCAGCAGTCTCTCTCTCTCTCTCTCTCTCTCTCTCTCTCTCTCTCTCTCTC